GCGGCGGCGGCGGCAGCGGCAGGAACCGGGACACCGGGGTTCCCTGTCACCAGCATTGGGGCGGTGGGCAGGATCTCCGCGGGGACCAGGCCTGGGGAGACGGGCCCCAGGTAGGGGTTGAAGGTGGCGGACGCGTTGGTGGCTAAGCTCGGTGCAACGGAAAACATCGGCTGCGGAGAGAAGAAAGACACTTCACATATTTATACTTGCCATGCCGTCAGCACAGTAACGTTTAGGCTACCATCTCCAGCACGCTGGCAGTGAATTTGTCAGTAGTGGGAAAGAAGTGTTTGTCCTGTGTGTGGAACACGACGAGCATGCATGCAAACGTCGCACTCGAGCGAGTCCACAAGGGCAGGCACCCCGCCAGCCTCGCCGGTTCCTCTGCTCGAGCGTCCCTGTGCGATGACGGCACGGCAGCGCGTGGAGCAAGCCCTCGTCTGACCCGAACCTCAGCAATGCCGCCGGAGACGGGTGCTCCGCATGGCCCCGGAAGAGAGCCCAGGCTCTGGAGGGACACGTCCAGGACGTTCCCTGGAAAACTGGCATCTGCACGAGGGCCACGACGCACCGCCACACCAGCTCCACTTCAGACAGACAAATGCAGTCCTGACCCCGGCGACAGCCAGCACGCGTTCAGCAATTACAGAGGTTTTTAACACAGGAACAAGACCAGACAATCATCATCATTTATTTCTACAAAATTCCACAGGCTGTCCACGCAGGTATTCGGAAAGAAACACACCGCATCGTATCTAGAGCAAACCACCAAGCCAGAGAAAGAGAGAGTGCACGCAAACTCTGGTTTTCGTGTGCGTTTGCTTGTTTTAAAAACAGAAAGAGTCAGATGTCCTCGCAGGCTACCACGTGTTGTGAGGATAACTGGGTGCAGAAGACCCAATAACGCTGTAAGACAAAATGTGGAGCTATTGCACTGCAGTAAAGCTTCAACAACTCTTCTGCCCCACTGAGTGCAAAGGCACTGCGCTGCCCGTGTAACTGCCAAATAAAATCTAGTCTGGAGTGTTTATCTTCAGTATCTAAATAAAGTAGTTACTCAAGGCATTTAGATTTGTCTTCCAAACTCATTTTCAGAGGGGAAAAACAACTCTAGAGTTACAGTGACTCTTTTTCTCTGTTTCATATCTCTTCAAGCCAGACAGCACATAACATCACGAGTTTTTGTATTCCTGAGGAAATGACTGAACTGTTTGGAAGCGAGGAACAAGACCATTCGGAACACTGGGCAAAAACACCCGCAGAGACTACTAAAAAAAGACAGTAAGTTATGTAAACGGGAATAATTTCTGTTCTGTCTCTGGTTCTTCACCCATGTGAATGAAAAGCAGAGGGGCAGATTTTACAGGAAATAAAACATGACTCTGAAATACACTATTAAGTCACTGCACTTTACTGTGTTATTAGCTATGTAACAATGAACAACAACAATAAAACTACGAAGCAGTCTGTTAGCGTGTAACTTAGAAGATACCAATGTTTGATTTCAACCCAATAAACTCACTATACAGTAAACCAAAGACTACCCCATTTCTTTTCTACTGAGATCATTTTCTACTGATACAAACGCCCCGCGGCCTCCCGACCGCCCCGTGCTCCTGCAGCTGCCAGGCATTTTGCGGTGTGCTGCACACGCGTGAGTCGGGAGACAGG